AAGAAAAAGAAATGGACAACTTTATGTTTGGTTAATTGGCCCTCCTTCAATGTTGGATGGCCCCCTGAAGGGACTTTTAACCTGAGTTTGATTTCCAGGGTAGAGGACCATGTCTTCTGCCCACGGACGGACCACCAGGACCAGATCCCATACATCGTGACCTGGCGAGGCCTCATCGAATGACCCAATGCCCCTCCAACCTGAGTCAAGTCCTTCCTTCCCCAATTAATCCAACTGCTCCCCCCTCCACCTCTACAGGTCCTCCCTCTCAGATCAAAGGCAGAAGAGAAACCCATTCTCCAGGGAGGCACAGAGGAGAATGACATATTTCCCCCACCTTACTCCTCTCAGATGGGCACCCCACCAACAGTGCCACAAGTGCAGGCCCTGCCTCCTAACCCTGAGGAGCCACCATCGCCTCCACAGGGCCTGTGCAGGCCACACGGAGCTGGAGGGTGGCAGCCCCCAGCCTGACACCATTGTCCTCCCCCTCCGGCTGGCGGGGTCCCCAGATGGAAAGGGCAATCAGCCCTTTCATTACTGGCCCTTTGCCACCAGTGATCTTTACATTTGGCACTCACAGAATGCACCTTTCTCTGAAAACCCCAGGGACTTAACTTATTGAAAACTGTTCTCTTCACTCTCTAGCCCACCTGGGATGATTGCCACCAGCTCCTGAGTGTCTTGTTTACTACTGAGGAGCAAAACAGTTTCCTGGAGGCAGCCCAGAAATTGGTTCCGGGCCCCACCGGGGACCCTACCACAGACACAGGCATCATTAATGCCAGCTTTCCCCCTAGCCATCCCAACTGGGACTACAACATGGCAGAAGGTAAGGAGAGACTCCTGATCTACTGCCAGACTCTGTTAGCGGGTCTCAAAATGGTGGCTCAAAAACCCACCAATATGTCTAAGGTCTATGATACCAGACAGGGGCCCGAAGAGAGCCCAGCCTCATACTTAGAGAGGCTACAAGATGCCTTCCTGCGGTTCACTCCGTATGACCCAGAAGCAGAGGAATCAGCTCAAACTGTGATGTTTGCTTTCGTTAACCAGGCAGCCCCTGACATCAACAGAAAGTTACAGTGTTTAGATAGACTAGGAGAAAAGAACCTTAGGGACTTAATAGCAGTGGTGGAAAAGGTTTATAATAGAAGGGAGACAGCAGAACAAAGAGAGGAAAGAAAAGAAAAAAGGAAGCAAGCCTGACCAGGGTCCTGGAGACACAACAGGCCCACACAAGAAGGACCTCAGAGAGATATTATTGGCAACCAACCCCCAGTATGGAGGGAGCTCACCGGCGGGATCCAGACCACGAAATAAGGTAGGGAAAAACCAGTGTGCATACTGCAAGGAGGAAGGGCACTGGGTGAAGGACTGCCCCAAGAAGAATAAGCGATCAGCTAAGGTATTACCATCTCTATTGGGGGTGAAGACAGTGACTAGGGGAGACGCACTCAGGTCCCCTCCCTGAGCCCAGGGTAACCCTGAAAATAGAGGGGAAACCAATTGAGTTTATGGTGGATACTGGTGCCCAGAATTCGGTTTTATTGGAGCCAAGAGGGCCAGTGTCCTCCAGAACTACATGGGTGCAGGGGGCAACAGGAACAAAGCCCTATTCATGAACTACCTGAAGAACAGTAGATTTAGGGAAGGGCCGGGTATCCCACTCGTTTCTAGTAATCCCAGAATGTCCCTACCCACTTCTGGGCAGAGATTTATTGTCAAAAATGAGGGCACAGATCCACTTCACACCTAAAGGAGCCACCCTGCTTCACAACAGGGCACCGGTTCAGGTTCTATATTCCTGACTGAGGAATATAGACTCCATCAGGAGCCGATCCAACCAAACCCTGATATATCAGATTGGCTCCAAAAATTTCCCCAAGCCTGGGCAGAAACAGGGGGTATGGGTCTGGCAGAACATAGGCCTCCTGTAATGTTGACCTCAAAGCAGGGGCGGACGTTGTTAAAGTGCGCCAGTATCATATGCCCCTAGAGCAAAACGTGGAATTACTCCACATATCAGAAGATTAATGGAACTGGGGGCACTGGGAACTACCCAGTCTGCCTGGAACACCCCACTCCTGCATGTCAAAAGCCCCAGTACGGGGACTATAGACCGGTACATGATTTAAGGGAGGTGAACAAGAGAGTCATTGACATTCATCCCACTGTCCCCAACTATTATACATTTACTCAGTACCCTGCCACCAGATCGGCAATGGTATACAGTTCTGGACCTCAGGGATGCCTTCATCAGCCTGCCACTAGCTCCCAGCAGTCAACCCTACTTTGCCTTCAAATGGCATGATCCGGAGGCAGGAATCAGTGGCCAGCTGACCTGGACATGACTGCCTCAAGGGTTTAAAAATTCTCCAACTATATTCGATGAAGCCCTGCATGAAGATCTGGTGAGTACAGAGCCCAACACCCCGACATAAGCCTGTTACAGTATGTAGACTTATTGATCGTGGCACCAGACCAGAAGTCCTGCCTGGAGGGGACAGAGGACTTACTCCACATACTTGGGGACTTGTCTGGATTTTGGGGTTCGCTGAAATTGCAAAACCTCTATATGAAGCTACTAAAGAAGGACAGGACTTCAACTGGCCACAGGAAAGGCAAGAGGCCTTTGAAACCCTAAAACACAAGTTCTTAGAGGCCCCTGCCCTAGGACTACCAGACATAAGTAAACCTTTCTGTCTATATGTGGATGAACGTAAAGGTATTGTGAAAGGGGTCCTCACCCAGAGAGTAGGCCCCTGGAAGAGACCTATTGCATATCTATCAAAGAAATTAGACCCTGTAGCAGCTGGATGGCCCCCCTGTCTGCGAATTATAGCAGCAGTGGCCCTGCTGGTTAAGGATGCTAACAAGTTAACCCTGGTACAGGACCTGCTTGTGGAAACCCCTCATGCCCTCAAGGGAGTGCTCAAGCATCCCCCCCTAATCGATGGTTGAGCAATGCCCGATTAGCTCATTATCAGTCTCTGCTCATAAATCCACCCAGGATCACCTTCCAGGTACTAACGGCCCTGAACCCAGCCACACTGTTGCCAGATCCCAATCTTGGGGACCCACTCGACAACTGTACTGAAATTATGGCACAGGTGCATTGCATCAGACCTGACCTGAAGGATGTTCCCTTGCCTGATGCTGAAGAAGCCTGGTACATGGGCATTATCAGTCTCTGCTCATAAATCCACCCAGGATCACCTTCCAGGTACTAACGGCCCTGAACCCAGCCACACTGTTGCCAGATCCCAATCTTGGGGACCCACTCGACAACTGTACTGAAATTATGGCACAGGTGCATTGCATCAGACCTGACCTGAAGGATGTTCCCTTGCCTGATGCTGAAGAAGCCTGGTACATGGGTGGAAGCAGCTTCATCAGAAATGGTAAAAGGCATGCTGGGGGAGTGGTCACAACCACCTCAAGAGTCATTTGGGCCAAGCCACTGCCAATAGGTACATTGGCCCAAAAAGCTGAACTGATTGTGCTTACCAAAGCCCTAAAGATGGGTAAAGGAAAGAGACTCAACATCTACACAGATAGCAGATATGCATTTGCCACTGCCCATATCCATGGGGCCATCTATCAAGAGAGGGGCCTCCTTACTGCAGAGGGAAAGACTATTAAAAATAAACAAGAGATCTTAGACCTCCTGCAAGCCCTCTGGGGCCCAACAAAACTAGCCATAATCCACTGCCCGGGTCACCAAAAAGGAAACAACCCCACCCAGAAGGAAAATAATCTGGCTGACTGGACAGCTAAAGAAATAGCCCTGACCTAGGGAGCTGCCTAAAACTCCCCACTATAGGCCCAAGGACTTAGCCTGGATACACACTCTCCCTATGACTCAATGCCTAGAGGGCTGGTGGAGGACAATAGATGGAAAAGTTATCCTACCTCAGAATTTAGGTGTAAGATTGCTCAACAAAATACATCAAGCATCACACATGGGTACCCGAAGGATGCAAGACTTACTAAGAAGGGCCAAAGTTAAAATTCAGGAAGGAAATCAAGCCATTGAAAAAATTGTTAGGCATTGTCATGCCTGCCAATTAACCAACTCAGCTCCATCCCATGCTAACCCAGGATCCCGGAGCAGAGGGACACAATCGGATACATATTGGGAGACTGATTTCACCGAGATCAAACAGGGAAAATTTGGATATAAATATTTACTAGTATTCATAGACACCTTCTCTGGATGGACTGAGGCCTACCCAACCAAGCATGAGACTGCTCACGTGGTAGCCAAGAAGCTAATCAAAGAGATCCTGCTCAGGTATGGTTTCCCAACTACAATCGGATCAGATAATGGGCCAGCCTTTGTCTCTCAGGTAAGCCAGGGAATAGCCACTGCACTGGGGGCCAATTGGAAACTACATTGTGCTTATAGACCCCAGAGTTCAGGACAGGTAGAAAGAATGAATAGAACTCTAAAAGAGACCTTAACCAAATTAGCTTTAGAGACTGGCACAGACTGGGTGGCTCTCCTCCCCTTTGCCCTTTTTAGAGTGAGAAACACTCCATACCAGATGGGTTTGACCCCCTTTGAAATCATGTATGGAAACCCCCCTCCTATGATACCTAGCCTCCAAGCTGACCTAGTATCAACCCTGGGAGACCAGGACCTACTGGACTCATTGCAACGGTTGCAGCTAACCCACCAATGGGCCTTATCACAACGCAGAGCCATATATGAAGCTGCTGTGTGATCCTCTTGACGACTCCCACCACACTCAAAGTGGACGGTGTCGCGACTTGGTGCACTGCTCCCACACAAAACCTGCCAACCCGTTTGCAGTCCCAGAGGATTACAAGGGAGACACCTGGAAGGCATCCCCACACCCTTTGAATCCATTCAAGCTCTGCATCCGACGAGACCCTTCCTACTAACCTACTGTTGACATTAAACTGCTTATCGGCTGATGGCACCTTTCCTGCAAGTAACATGAATCCCCATATGCCCCTTAGCACAAGCCCCCCAGATACCTGTGAGCTGGCCAGCCAGAACCCATAATTGGATTCCCCAATTACAAGACAAGGGGGGAATGAGACCCTCTTCATTCACCCGCTACCCCCAATCCCTCCAGACCCCCACTAATTGCTCTTTTAGCTTCTGTAAAATGCTTGGCTGCTGCTTTAGACATGCCTAGACATGCCCTGGCATGCCCTGACCCCTGCTTGCTATCTCCCCCCGCTTCCAGGAAACTATAAATTAAGCAAGCCCGCGCATGAAAACTGCCCTATAAGGTAAAAACGGAGACTCCTGGCCCCACAGATAACAGTCAGCACATTCCACAGCCCTGAGAATAGCACCTACCAATAAGAAACTTCCAGGGCTACATCTTATACATCCAATCAGTTTAAAATTATGTTGGCACGTGTGGGCTCCTTGAACCAACCAAAATGTATCTTTGGTATCCCCCTCCTCTCTTTGTCTAAAACCTATAAAAGGCTCCACTCTCCCTTACTCTGGGCTCTCAGCACAGATCCGTTGAGTTGGTGAGGTGTGAGAGCCCGAGCTTAAGCCCGAATAAACCATAAACCTTTGCTTTTGCATTTTGGTGTGTTGGGTCCTCGGTGGTCTTTTTGGGGTCCAGTGGATGAGGTACAACACTACCTAGTAAGTGAAACAAAATGAAACTACAAAATAGTCTAAGCTTATATAAGAACACACAAGTTCATAAGAAAATAACTTTTATCAGTCTGACCAGTGTCCTGACACTAGTTATCAGCTAGTATATGCTAGAGACACACCAACGCAGACCTAGAATATCAGTCCCTCTTCTGAATCTGACTTTTATTTCTATGTGTGTCCCATATCTCCCATCAGTGTCTAGCAGACCCGGCTTCCTCTGAACTCTTCTCCTGTGACATCTTCTATATGTCCATCAAAGCCATTTCCTTGTACCAACAATCTTAATGCTCCCACCAACTCTTTCCTTCATAACCCACATCCATCTATCAGCAAATCTTGCTGGTTCTATGTAACACTGTGGTCCAAACTGAATGCTTCTCTATCATCTCATCTCCGGTCTACAGAGACCAAGTTTCTGTCTAATTCCTGATGTACAGTGTATGACAAATAAAATTTATTAAACTTGTTTACTGAATGACAAGAACAGCTCTGCTTTCATAGCACAGCCTCACTCAATGCAAGAGGAGGCTTACTTGTATAAGCAAGGAATTTAAGGGATTGCTTGGCTGAAAGATTCTTGGTGGTATGTTCCTCAATAGCATACAGCCCAGACAAGCAAAGGCCAAAGCATCTCTGGGAGTTCTGGTTCAGATAAGATATAGAATCCAAATTTGAAGTTGACTTCACTGTTCTTTGTCTTTAGTGAATCTTGATGAAAGTCAACAGTCTAAGCAAGCATCCCTTCAGTGGGTGGAGAAATACCCTGCTTTTTATATTGTGCTTTGTTAATTCACATCAGTGGCTAAATCGGGCTTCAATTGTGAAATCCCCCTCTAACACAACCGCAGCCCTCTTGATTGCAGGCCTACACTTCTCTTTCTCCACTTGGATGTGATATTCACTGACATTTATAATTCTCATGCTGTGGGCTCAATGATCTTAAACAGGACATTGGACTGAATTGCTTTCTAATGACTGTGCTTGTCTTCTTCATTCCCTCAGTAACTGGACAGATACAAGTCTACTCGACCACACTGGATCTAAGGACGGTAGGTGGAGAATAGAAAGAGGGAGACTCCAGCAATTCTCTTCTGTCATTTTTAGTCTGTAAGATGTTTAACCTAAAATTTTAATTATTCAAGATGTTTAATGCTGCAGTTAATCAGCTATTTTTAAAGAGTAACAACCAGTCACCCTTAACTGTAACTCCGTACCTTTGAGATTCTGTTGACCATTCGTGGGAAAAGAAGGTAAAAAACAAGCAATTGGGATGATGGGTACAAATTCGGCGACAAACAAAAGCATCCGGGGCCAAAATGCTGTCAGTGTTACTGTCTGCAAACACCGTGCTGGGGAAAATGTCTCTAATGCAAGCTGTGTAACAGAAGAAACCATGTTAGGAAATGAGGGCTCCAGCAGGATCACGAACATTCCATCACAGTATTTGTTAATTCAATGTAAAAACTGTGTGTTTATCCCAAGATCTTTTCTTTTCTTTTTGATTTAGAAATAAAAAGAATAAAGTAATTATTTTAAACTTGAAAGTTAAATAGAAACTCTATCTAGGACTTAATGAACTGTACCACATGGAGAAAGTGAAAGATCATTGGGTCCATTTCATCAGTGAGTGTCAGCTGTTTTCCAAAGTTAGATCTATTACCCACAACTTTGACTTTGTATGAGTCTAATGGTATAACGTCCTTGTTGACAAAATAATAGTTACCCAAGTTAGAAAGCGCACAGGATTTCAAAGAAAATCCAGATACCACATTACTGAGCTTCGTTATTCTGGTTGGTGTCCCTGTCTGGGTGTACTTCAACAGACAAATTTCACTGAATAAAAACAAAAATGGAGAGAATATTATTCTTCCAATTACAATGATAAAAAAGCACGAGATGATAAGAAATTACCATTTGTAGAGAGTAAATAGATGTAATAGTAAAGGAATTTCCCTGAGAGGCTAGTTGGATGCCTAAGTCCAGACAGCTCCTCTAAGCACAGGGCGCGTCGTGATTTCACCTGTGAAATGACAGACAGAGGCCTGATGAGGGATGTGGAGGAGCACTGTGTGTACGGTTGACTCCTCCCGTCCTTTTCAGCTGTGATGCTTTATGTATACTATTCTGTAAAGACAAGGAACATTTTTCTGGCTTGCATTCATGTCGTGTTGTCTTAGACATACAGGACTGTCTCTGAGGTGAGCTAAAGGAAACCATGAAGCTACTTTCCATTTTTTTAATTATTGCTTTTGAAATAAATCTCAGATGCTTTGCTTTCCACTGCCCTGTTTTCTGTACATGTGAGAATCAGAATGTTAAAATCCAATGTTGATGTCCAAATATTAGTAATTTGAACTTACTGTATTATTCCCATTGAAGCCAGATAGATTTAGTTTACCATGCAAATCTGGTTCACGTAAAATATTCTAAATATAAAAATGAATCATGTATTTTTGTAATACAATTTTAAAACTGATGGTGTGGACTTAGCCATTAGTAAACAAATCACTTTTATAAAACATTTAAAAACTATGTTTCTTATTTTATGGTATGTTTTATCTATAATTACCTAAGTGCACCAGATGTGTGCGATTCCCATGGAGGCCAGGAAAGGGCATCAGATCCCCTGGAACTTGAGTTACTGATGGTTGTTAGCTGCCATGTGAGTGTTGGGACCTGAACACAGTTCTCTTCAAGATCAGCCAGTGCTCTTAACACCCGAGCCATCTCTCCAGCCCCCATTTTTACATCTTTTTACTTATTACTGCAATATTGTGAAATCCCACACAAAACAGATAAAACTTTGCACATGAACTTCAGCTGCAGAACTGTTAGAGAGATCATTAACAGGCTTTTATTTTTGGTTCTGTAGCATTGCTCTGTACTGTTAGGCTGGGAAGAGCACTGCCAACCAGACCAATTGTAGCTGTTTCTAAACTGCCTATTTAAAAATGCAGTGCTCTAGAAATCAGCTAAGATAGATTAAGCACATGTTTATTTTATAACAATATCATTAAAACACAGAACCGTGTGTGTGTGTGTGTGTGTGTGTGTGTGTGTGTGTGTGTGTTGCCTGTGCTGTCTGTGCAGTGCAAGTGCATGTGCACGTGTGGAGCATGGGTGTTCATGCCACGCACTCATGTACACAGTCCAGAGGAACACACCAGAGTTCTGCTCTGTCAATCTCTGTCCTATTCCCTTGACACAGGGTGTGTCATTGAACTTGGAGTTTGCCGTTTTTTCTGGCTAGGCTGGTTAAGCAATAAGCCAGGTGACCCTCCTGTCTCTGCATATCATTCAGTAGGGAGGTGGTAACAGAGGGCAGGGACAGACACTTGATACAAGTATCCTTTAGGCACTAAAATGAATTTAGGCTTGAAGTTGACAACAATAATTCGAATGAGTCAGCATTCCGCTTTTTCCTGCATTTTCTCATCCCTGGGCTCAGTTGCCAGCTCACTCACCGATGCTCCAGGCTAGGGAAATGCTTTGTCGCGTACGTGAAAAAGTGGCAGTGGGCATCATTTGTGCATTGCTCTTGACATTCCTGAACGTTCTTCACAACAGAGCTATTATAGTTCATGCCCTTCATGTCTAGGTCCACGTACACATCTCTGCTGCAAGCTGGAAATAAAGGTGGAAAATATGGGAACCTCCGGAATCCAGGGGGAGCAAGAGCGCTGTTACCTTAGCAACTGTCCTTCTCGATTCGTGCTTGTAACTTTTCACCCACTTTCGCTCAGAAGTTCCTTGAATCTGTTTAATTCCTATTTCTAAATGGAAGCATTATAGGAAAGCTAATGTTTGTTGTTGCTGTTATTTTGAGACAGGGTCTCCCTGTAGCCCCAGCTAGCCTGGAACTCACTATGTAGACTAGGCTGGCCTCTATCTCACAGAGATCCACCTGCCTCTGCCTTCTGAGTGCTGGACTTAAAGGCATGTGCCATCATGCCCTGCTAATGTCTTTATATTGGAACAATTTTAGAATTATAAATTTTCATTTTGATTTTTTCTGACCTAGTAAAACTCCATTGACTGATTCAACTAGAAGCATCCGTTTCACTATTAATGCATGTGTCACGTTATTCTTTGAATTTTCTCCCTTTGATTGAATTAATATCTGTAATAAGGGCTTTCATGTACAATTTTAGGCTGGGAAGGAAACAGTAGGATAAAAAAGTAATAAAAACTAAGGTGGTAACATATGTCTTTTTGTGAAGTCAAGAAATTTTAATGAGGAATTGGAGAGATAGGCCAGGTGTTAAGAGACTGGCTGATCTTGCACAGGACCCAGGTTCGGTTCCCAGCACCCACATGGCAGCTAACAACCTTCTGTAACTCTGGTTCCAGGGGATCTCACACCCTTTTCTGGCCTCCTTTGGCATTGTACATATATGGTGTACTTACATATATGCATGTAGGACACTCACATACATAAATAAAAATAAATATCTTTCTTTAAAAAGAAATTTAAATGAACTCTAGTTCATGGGGAAGAGGGAAGCAGACATGCATGAATTTTTACGGTGCCATAAAAATCCTTCCTTAGTAAGGAAGCTTAGACTACAAACAGTATTTTATAGGCATAAAACTGTATCTGTTAACAATTATATGCATACATCATAATACTAGTCTTTAGTAATTCTGAAAAGGAATCTTTTTTGGTCTTTTTGAGACAGGGTCTTCCTATCACCCCAGCTGGCCTTGAACTCATAGAGATCCCCCTGCCTCTACCTCTTGAGTGCCAGGATCAAAGGTGTGTGCCACATCACCCGGCTTGATAAGGAATCTTACCACTTAGTTGTTGAGGGCATTGCTTGAAGGAATATCCAGAAACTGCTCCTGTCATATTTACCATTGGCAGTGTTTCTGTGACACTGTCTTTCAGGGTGCAAGCAAACCTGTTCTTTAGAAAAAAAATAAGATTACTGAGTAAGAATTTTATGTTTTAAAATAGTGGGTCTTAAAAATCAACACACAGAAGGACAAAGAGGAGGAAACAAAGTACTAGGTCCTATGCCAAAACAAACTTCGAGCCAAAATAAATATTTACTCAGCAAAATTCTGACTTTGTTTTTTATTTCAACATCCTATATTTGAAAGCCATGTATGCCCTTCCTTCCTAGCTGAAAACAAACAAGAATAAATGAACTATGGCCTGTTGCTAAAATGCTATTTAAAATCTGCCTGTTTTTGTATTGTCCCTGAGCTAGGAATGGTTTTGTATTTTTGCATGGTTATATTTTAAAGATTTATTTTTATTTTGTTTATGTGTATGTGTCTCTGTGTGTATATGCTACATGCACACAGAGACCAGAAGAAGGTGTCGGATGCCCTGGAGCTGGAGTGCGGGAAGGAAGGCATGAGCTCTGGAAGTGGGTGCTAGGAACTGAGCTCAGGTTCTCTTGGGAGAGTTGAGCCAGCCCTTTGCATGGTTACATTTTAAATGGGGGTAGAATACAGAATATCCTTACATTTGCATCTGGTCCCATGAAGCCTAAAAATTTCCCCCTGGCCTTGTTAATAAAATGCTTGCTGACCTCTATTCTAGATTCTAGAAGAATAACTCATATTCATGGTAATATGTAAATATCTGTGAATTCAGCAATAATTTCTGTCTTAGCTTTCTTTCTATTGCTGTGATGAAAACACTGACCAAAACCAACTTGGGAGGAAAGGGTTTATTTGGGTTGCAGCACACGGTACATCATCAACGGAGGTCAAGGCAGGATCTCAGGGCAGGAACCTGGAGTACAGACCATGGAGGAAGGCTGCTTACTGGTTTGGTCCTCTGGACCTTGCTCAACTTGCTTTCTTAAACAATACAGGACCTGCTAAGGGGTGACATCACCCACAGTGGCCTGGGCCCTCCCACATTACTCAATAAAAGAGAAAATACCCCATAGTCATGACCACAGGCCAGTCCAATGGAGGAAATTCTCCAACTGAGGCTCCCTCAACACAAGTGTGTCAAGTTGACACTAAAGCTATCTAGCACACACACAAAATGTTAACAACTTAATTTTGCAAAAAGGATTAGATACTGAGTTTTCAAGTTTAGCATGGTAACAAAAGTAGATGTACTGTTATAAGATTTTTAAAATATGACTAGAGAGACAAAGCAACCATACAGAACTTGTGAATTTTGATGAGATTCTAGTTAATGGTAATAAATCAAGTTTGAGGGATGTTCTAATGTAAAACAATTCTGTTAGATTTCTTTTACTTTGTGTCAGCAAATGCATGTTAAAGTATTTAAAAGTGGAATGTGATAATGTTTCAAAATTACTTACAGTATTTAAATGTGAATACATACAGGCAGGTAAAGCAAACAGGACAGGGTTTTGAAGGCTATAGGAGGTTGTTGCACTATTTTTTTTCAAATCATCTTTACAAGCATTTTTTTCTAATTAAATAGTTGGAAGAAAGTTCCCAGATAATATCAACTATTCAAAGTCAATAGCAATGCACAGCACAAAAATGATTAAGATATAAAAATAGGGAGAAAGAGAAAATGTTTCCTTAAGACTTCAATTTTATGAGGCATTGTTTTTTCCCCAAATGTGCCTAAATATCTATTTTTTTCTGTAACGCTAAAGCTATCCAGCACACACACAAAATGTTTAGCATTTCAGTGGGTGGAAAACTCATTTTTCCAATTGATTACATTACACTTTGTAAAATGATAGGTGGATATTCGTTAGTAGGTAATTGGCCTGTGAAATTAGTTCCACTTCATAGAAACATACACGGTTACCATTTGGTAGGGTCGCCAGATGATGACTCATCCATGAAAGTGAAGAGCAGGCACCTGGGGTGGTGGGTGCAGACCACTTGGCAGTACGTGGCACTCGGTGTGAAAACAGTGCTAATATCTCCTCCTTGAAAGCAGGTGTCTTTGAAAAGCTTGGTCACACATTCTGAGATGCAAAACATGGCACATATTAATTGTATTTTAGTAGATACATATCTACTTAGATAATAATATGATCAAGTCAAGGTAAGCTGGTCTACTTCACAGGAAATACCCATAACCTTGAACAACAGATCAACACTGTTAGGTTAGTCTTCTCAGTGTGCAGCCTGAGGTGGAAATAAAATCACAAAATGACAGGCCTGCTGCAATGGTGTCACATTTGTGAGTGATTGTCTTGGAGCAAGGAGTGCTGTGTGGACAGTTCAATGATTTCTCAGCTTTTTATCAGCAAAGCATGATCCTCAGGATCCCCTCCAGCTCCAGCAGGAGTGTCCTGATTTTCCCTTCACGCATCTCTTCTCATTGTTTGAATGTTGCGATGTACCATACAAATATGGATGGCCTTCAGTATGGTATCTTCTCAACACTAGGGCTCATCTACTAACCAGAAATGAAGAGTCCTAGAAAAATCACTGATTCCCTTTAGCTAAAATTTCAAATAAGATTTTACTTTTAAAAGGCTAAGATACAGGGTTGGGGAGATGGTTCCGTGGTTAAAAGTACTGACTGCTTTTGCAGAGGACCCAGGTTTGGTTCCCAGCACCCACAGGTCAGCCAACAATGTGTAACTTCAGTTCCAGGGAAATCAGACAGCCTCTTTTGATCTCTGCAGGCATTGCACAACATGGATGTACTTATACCCATGCAGGTAATGCTCATACACGTAAAAGAAAAATGATAAGCAAAATATTTTAAAAGGCTAGGGTGTACAGAATTTAAAAAGTCCTATGTTGCTAGAAATAGATATCTAATTATCCACATCACTAGTGTCCTTCTAGGTGACTGCTCCCTAGTGACTGAATAAAAGGTTATAGTTTTCTTAATGTCATATTCTCATGGAGAGGTACTGCTATGCGTCCGTGTTCCTACTTATTGAGAATGTGTAGGAAACTCAAATAAAAGTACTTCCAGCAGAATAAAAAAATACCTCAAATATTTACTGCTGTAGCAACCATCAGTAAATAGTCTGTAGCTGTAAAGCAGCCAAAACTGTTATGAGGCTTCTAGGACTCAGATAGTTAGTGAACTTGAAGGAGGAAAATCTCACCTGTGTTTTCACTGACCCCTAACTGAAATGTGGTATATATTTGTATTATTAATGTAAGCAATGAGCTACATTGATATTCATAGCATTTGTGACAACGCATAGGAATATGTCATTATGACTCAGTCTACACACTGTTAGTTTGCTGGTAATTACTATGCAGTTTTAAGCTTGCCACTGCATCTTGTTATCTAATACAGTAATAAGAACCCTATCTAGTTATATTTGTGTATTTTACATTTTAACTAACCATATTTCAATATAATTGGCTTCCTCCCTACTTTTAGCTTGTACATTTAAACACATCCTTCTAAGGATGGAATTCATAATACTCACTAGCTGCTGAAGGAATCTGTGAGTACAAGAGAGTCCCTGCCACAGACCTGCACCCAAAATTTGATAGGATTTCTTCCATATTACCCACATATGCCCTCAGAAGAGAACATGGTTTTCTCTAGTATTGGCAAGTATACCAGGAATAACTTAGAGTTTTGCTTCTTTTCCCCAAGTTCTGTGGTGCTTCCAATCAAACCATATAGCCGCTTCTCCAGAGTCTAGTCCCACCTCACAGGAGTTCTGTTAACTACAGAAACCCCAGTCATCAATTTTGGGATAAAAAGCAATTGAACCATATTAAACAATGTTCTACATCAAGTAGAACATTAATTTTTGGTAAGTTGAATTGATTTTTAAATAATTAATAAATCTGCAATTCTACTTAGAATGTGGCCCCCTACTACTTGAATCATTAAATTCTAAAGCTGGTTGACTTTCCTAATCCAAATATAGCTTCTAGTACTGGCAAAATGGGCTACTGTTTGTGTATTTGTATATTGAACTTTTTTGAAGGGAAGGAGTTTCGATAGAGTCTCGTTATGCAGACCAGGCTAACCTCACATTCATCCATACCTCCTGAGTGTTGGGATGACAAGCGTGCACCACTATACCTGTTAGTATTTGAATTTGCCTTTAGACTTCTTGATGGTCTGACTAAAATAATTTATGTGTTGGTTACTTTGACTTTATGTAAACAGTAATATTCTCTGTGAACAATCGGTTAATTTCCTTTTACCTTTTGACTTTTGTTTCTTTCTTTTTTTTTTTTTTTAATTTCCTTGCTGTACTGACTAGGATCTCCAGTAAAATGCTTAATGGAAGTAACAGTATATATTGTTTGTTTGTTTGTTTCTCTTTTTGAGATAGGGTCTCCTTGTAGCCCCAGCTGTCCTGGAACTATGTCGACCAGGCTGGCCTCGAACTCACAAAGATCCGCCTGCCTCTGCCTCCCAAGTGCTGGGATTAAAGGCGTGCGCCACCACGCCCGGCTAACAGTGGATATTTTAAAATAATTGTTACCATATTATTTATTGTACACAAGACATTTTCATACACATAACATGTACTTAGACCATATTCACTTCCTATACCCCATCTTTCTTCCCTCCTTCTATTTCCCTAGAAGGACTCTCTTCAACTTTCATGTCATGTGTATGTACGTATGTATGTATATGTGTGTGTGCTTTTATGTATTTATGTAAAATCTAAGGTCCACTAATTTAAGAAAATGTGGTGTTTGTCTAAGTCTGATTTCACCCAAATGATGGTCTCCATTGCATCCAATTCCTGAAAACGATATAATTTCATTGTTCTTTGTGACTGAATAAAATTCCACTGTGTGTTTGAACCATATTTCTTTTATTCATTCATCTACGGATGGACACTGAGGCTGATTCCCTAATTTTGTTGCTGTGAATAATGCAAGCTAGTGATGTTGTGGGAAAAGTGGAACTCTAACACACTGTTAATGGGAATGTAGACTAGTCCAATCACTTATGGAAATCAGTATGGAAGTTTCTCAAAAAAAGAAAAAAACAAAAACCCAGAAGTAGGACTATCATTTGACATAGCTGTGCCTCTCCTGAGGCATATCCAAAGGACTCTAAGTCAATACACCACAGAGCTACTTGCACAGCTCTGTTTATTCTAGCCCCATTCATAACAGCCAACTTATGGATCATCTTGTCCTAGCCTCGGTCCCTAAGGGAAGTATCAATAACTCACCATTATACTTGAGGTTTCTTGAAAACTTCTGGTTTGAATTTTTATTTTAAAATTAATTTGCTTATTTTTAACATACCTTTTGGTGAATAATGGAAGTTTCTATTCTGAGTTTGCAACAAACATTTGTCATAAGTAGAATTTTATCAAATATTTTTCTGTGTGTATCAATGTCTTAAACTTTTAATTTTTAAAAGACAGGGTCTCCCTTTAACCCTAACTGGCCTGGACATATAGTCTCTATGTAGACCAGGCTGGCCTTGAGCTCACAGATATCTGCCTCTGCTTCCCGAGAGCTGGGATTAAAGGACTACACCACCATACTCAGCCTAGTTATGCTTTTTTATTATGGCAAAATTTATCTGTCATAAAATTTAAGTACATTTACATTGCTGTACAACCATCACTACTATTCATTCTAGAATTTCTTCAACATTCCCAACAGAAACACTCTACTCATTAAATTAGCATCCTTTTAGTATTAGCCCCTGCTCCTCTCTTTTCTGTTTCCGATTTCTCTGAATTGAGTTCTTTAGACACCTTGTGTAAGTGGAGTCATACATAGGTCCCATTGTGACTGGCTTATTTCACTTAATACGGTGTCTTGGTTCATCCGTGCTGTAGTACGCATCAGCATTGCCTTATTTTGTTTAGCTATTCTACTTGGATTGTGCTATGACTTGGACAGTTGTGCTCCAAACACCTGTGGCTACTCTGCATGCACTACTATAATCATAGGAACACAGATATCTGTTGGAGCCTCTGCTTTTACTTCTTTTGGGTCTGTATCATGTAGAGTAGCATATTTATTGATTTTAGGAAAATAGAATAACTTCTCATTCCTAGAAATATGCCAATTTTGTTACAATGTGTTAATGTAATCATTCCACTATTTTTCTTTAAGATGAGTTGGATTATTTGTTACAGTCTTTTTTGGCAGTTTTGAGACTACCTAGCTTTTCTAGGTAGCCTGGCCTTGAATTTAGAATTTTCCTGCCTTCACTTTCTGAGTGCTAGGATTACAGGTATGATCCATCATAGTGACTGGTAATATTTTCTTGTCGGTATTTGCTTATATATATTATATTATATATATTGATGAGCAGAAAAATGGTCTTGAAAGCTCTTTTTCTCCCCCTCAGAATGTCCTGGGCACTTTGGCATCATGACCTTATGAAATGGGGTGCGGAGCATGAGCAGACCGACTTCCTCTAATCCGTGTTTGCACTCTTGTGTTCATTTCTGCTGTCTTCTTTATTCTTTTCTGTCTTCTGGTTCCCTTGCATTTGTTAGCCTCCTTCTCCTTGAGTTGTATTCTTATCACTAATTCTTACCATTTCCTGTTCTAATGTGTATGTGGAAGTCTTTACATATGATCTCAGCTCAAACTACATTCAAAGTTTTGACATGCCATATATTAACTATAATTATTTTTAATTTTTCTGATTTTCATTATGATCTCTTTGCAGAATCATATTTATGAAAAATGAATATACTTGCTTATCTTTTAAAACTTAGATTTTTCCAGTTATTGTTTTGTCATTTTTAGCCCAATTCTTCTACAACTAAAGCACACACTCTGTACAATTTTTATTGTTGACAATTTGTGGAGACTTGCTTAGAGTGGTCAATGTCTTTTACTGCTTTCTATGTACACATAAAGAATGCACATATTGGGACTCCAGAGGTGGTTCAGTGGTTAAGAGAACATAGTGTTCTTGCAGAGGACTAGAGTTCTGATTCCCAGCACCCATGTGCAGCAGCTCACAGCTGCCTGCAACTCCAGCTCCATGGGGAGCCAATGCCACTGGCCTCTGCAAGCATACCTGCACTCACATGCAATTCCACCTACACCCCCTCACACACACACACACACACACACACACACACAAAAGAGAGAGGCATATGGAGGATAGTTTTCAAAAGAATACATACACACATACATGCATATATATATATATATCAGGGTTCAAAATTGAGATAGTGCTAACAATTTACCAAGGAATGAACAATGTAATTTCTAAATAATGACAATGAAAGAATAAAATATCCTGAAAAACAATATTGTCACAAAGAAAACTGAAATGATAAATTGTGCAATTAAATATATTTTATAGAGTCTATTTTATTTAAAACCCTACCTAGATTTCCCACTTTTCACGTATAGCAGAATAGTAAGAATTTGCTATGGCTGAATGCCAGCAGCAGCAGCGAAAAGTAAATGTAGCATGAACAAGTTAATTTTAAAAGAATGTTTAAATTTTCATTTTAAGTAAGGAAATAAGCTCAGGGTTAAAGATGCTTAAACTAATTTGTTCTAATTAATATTTATTAGGCAACTTATAATTGTACTAATTTGCTCTACTGAATATTAAGTAATTTATAAACAAATTTGCTGATTTGATGCAGCATAGTAATAGCAATAGTTAAATTAATCAGTGCCTAAGCTGTGCATGAATAGTTCCATAACACTTTTCAATCCAAAATTTCTAAGTGTGTGGTTTGTCTGTGCGTGTACTTGTGTGTTATTGAATTGAATGCCTTATAGAAAACTAATCAGTGAAGTGAATCAAGTCTCCTGATTTCTAATTATGCTCTTTGATGAAGTGTGTTATGTAGGTTGATACAGATGCAGTTGTATAGATAGCCATGATACAGATGTGGACATATGCATACATTCCTACTGATACTCCTGTATCTAAATTTCCTTCTTGCTTTGTATCCCCTGGAGCCTTAAATAGAAAAGAAATGATTTCATTTCCTTCCCTGGAGTTAGTGATGTGGAATTGTACCACAAGTGAGGATTGCAATGCAATTTCTCTTCCTAGACTTATACTGTTTCCCATTCTACAGGTCAAGAAATAAGTTATTTCTAGACTAAAGGTAAAGCAACACTTACCTCCAGAAACTGAGGCAAAAAAGAGGAAATGTACCATCAGACGTAATGAGATCATCCTAGAAAGAGAAAAATGGGAATGTTTTTAGAATGCATAACTTATAACTAGTTTACTGGCACCAGAATTTACAGAGAGGACTAGCTCTCTCAGGAGTGCTCACTCGATCGACCCCCCATGGTACAGTTAGACCTTCCCTGAGCTTGGTGTGCGTGTTCAACACAGTCATAGCTCCTCAGAAGTCAGAAACGACACCCCTCTCTCTCCTGCCCTCACCCCACCAGTTAAGTCCGTCTGCCATATCAGGACACCGCTCCCTACCCCGATTTCCATCCTTGTTTTCTCTTCCCATTCATTTCCTTTCTTTCCATGTTTGAGGTCTCACTCCGTATATGTCTATCAAAGATCTCTGAATGAGTTTCTTTTATGACAGCTTTTATTTCTAAATGAATTACTACAAATCCATTAACATATTTTTTGGTCTCCTAATTAAATCTACGTATGTCAACTAAATACCAAACAGGCTGTCCCACAAAAACGGCTTCTCATAATCCTATCAGGGAGACAAGTCAGTACTTCTGGATTTCTGTATTTCTCTTGAGTCTCTTTTTCTTGTAAAATATTTATTATTGAGTACAAGCTGCTTGTCTCCATTCTGCTGCTGCTGCTGCTCTCAAATGCATTATAGAGAGTAACTAAAAATCATACACACTTAAAAATCAATCATTCTGTACTTCAAAATACAAACCCTCGTTGGTGAGGATAAAAAGCATTTTGAGGCATAATTGCTTGAGAGAAATGCTAAATCATCTTGAAGCCATACCTGAAGGTTCCTCCTCTGCCTGTCTGCTGCCTGTCTCAGATGGAGTGTTTCCTTTCTTCCAAAATGATCTTCATTCTTTTCTAAATGAGCTTGTTCAGGCGATGTTCACTTCAGTGGTTGCTTTCACTGCCTTCCATTGCTATGTGTCTGCCTCTTGTTTCTGCACAGCATGTCCGAGAAATTCCTTAAAGCCTCTGCATACCAAAATTACCTTAGGACAATGGCTAACTTTCTTAATGCATAAAATGTGTGCATTTTCTTTTCACCACGTATTCAAATGAGTGACACGCACTGTGGCTGCTAAGTGTTGAGCTTGCCTGTGTGCTTTAACAGTTGCATAAATTCAGATTTAGTGGGCCTGCCTACCAAAGGTACATATAACTGTACTTTCAAACATCAGCTGTTAACCATTAATTCTAGCTCAACTGCAATCTCAGAGTCTGCAAAGGAAACATGGGAAGTCTGATGAGCCTGGTGATTTGCAGTGTAGTGAAAGGAAGAGATTTTAGGGGGCTACAGGTGGAGGCCTAGGGCTGGACAGAAAATGAAGCATAGATTGCTAGAGTCCTGCTTAGACAGGTTCAGTTTTTCATTACATAGCATCTTTTCAGAAGTCTGTACAGATGTGTTTATAAAGGGTCACTAAGAGTGTAAAAGAAATTAACAGTAATACATAGTTTTCTCATGGCTTCTTTAAGTCTCAGGACATTGATACACAAATGGAGAGCTACAAAGTGACATGAACTGTCGCATCACAAACAGAAGTAAAACAATGCAATCACTGAAGGATGAGGAGCCTCCCAGGCTAGGCCTTGTTGCAGTGTATAACAAGGAAAGCCAGTGAAAGGCTTTTCTGGGTCCCACATAGGTCTGTTTCTGTTAAAAGCCTTTCCAGGAGCTTGCCGAGGGATCAAGTGTTCTATGGAAGACATGACACTCCATGTTCTCCATAGCCAGACATATTCTGTTTACCAGTTATCTCAATAGGGCAAAAATAAGTTGTCAGAGCTGCACTGTGAAGCAGTGGCCTATGGGTGCTTGGCCATTTACTTCTTTCTGGGTTTCATTTCTCTCTGTCTTTAAATAAACTATTTATTTTTATGTATGTAAGTGTCTTGCCTGCATCGTACAAGTACACTGTATGTCTGCAATTCCCACACAGGCCAGAAGAGGATGTTGCCTCCCTTGGAGCTGTAGTTACAGATATCATTAGCTACCAATGGGTGCTGGGAACCAAACCCAGGTCCTCTGCAAGAGCAGCCAGTGCTCTTAACTAAGCCATCTCTCCAGCCCCCACATCTCTCATTTTTAATATTATGCACTGACTAGCTCTAAGGATTTCTTAGCAAATGTCTGACATCTAGTCAATACCTACCACATACCATAACACACAGACACACAGACACACAGACACACACACACACACACACACACACACACACACACATGTGCACACACAACCAGTTTGATTTAGGACTGGCAAGATAGGTACTTGGTCACTAACAGGTAAAGGTGACCACATCCAAAACCGATGACCTGAGTTTGATCCTCAAGATATGTGGTAGAAAGAGAAAGCTGACTCTCTCTAATTTAAATCTGTGTTTTGTGACAGCTGCTCCTCACATACTCCTAAATAAATAAAAAAAAATAAATGTTTTTTAAAAGACTGATCTAAATAGCTTTTAGAGAAAGATAATTGAAGGTTCTGGAAAAGCTCCCAATTTTCAATAAAAAATTAAATACACGCTTATATTTATAAGTGTAACCATAATTTAAAAGCTATTATGAAGACCAGAACAGAAAGGAAAGCACGTTTGTCCCCTTTGGGATCTTGCTGAAGTCACGTGTACCAAAGGAAACACTATGCCTTTGTTCAGCGACAGCACCAATGTGAGTGTGAGCTTCTGAACCAACAGACTTGGAGCATCTCAGTATTGGGGAATACAGGGACACAGTCTCATTTCCTATATAGCATAGCTATGTCACCATGGGCTTCCTGAATAGTTTCTGAAAGTATCAGATATCCATGCTCTTGTGGCCAAAGATTAAGTGGAAAGATGAGCCAGGATCAGAAACACTAGGCAGCCCTTTCAAAAACTCCTACAGAAAGAAAACAAGACAGAGGGGTGAAAGGAAGAACAAACAGAGGAAATAAGGAAAGTCAGCACATCCAGACAGTCCCCCACAGACAGAGGTAGGAGCATTTTTGGAGAGAGAGAGAGAGAGAGAGAGAGAGAGAGAGAGAGAGAGAGAGCTATTGTTCAATAGGGCGGAAAGGTGGGGAGGTTGAACTTAGGAGTGATCTTGACACCAGTGCTAACCCACTTGTTTTGTTCTGTCAGAGGGTAGTTACTCAGATGTCGGGGTTTTTTTCATCTGTTGCAAATGCGTTGTCACCCATGCAGAAGGGGAAAAAACTCACCTCAGCTACTGCCTTGAGTTTCTCATTTTCTCATTTAAAATTAAGTTCCCCCCACTTACTAACACACAAATCACATATGTATGATGCCTGGATTTTTTGTAAGGCTCAAACCTAGAATGATGGACTGATCTATTGCAAAAAAAAAAAAAAAAATGATTTCATGGCAAATTGATATGTGAGATGGCATTAGGCCCTACTTTCCTGTATTCTTATTCTCTGAAATCTCATCTCTTTCCTAATACTTCTATAAAAAGATGATAATAACTCACAAACCCTATTGAGAGAAACAGAAAGACTTCAAATGATAAAAATGCTTCTTTGAATATTGTCTTAGGCTTGATTTAACTTGTCAATGAAATCACTGAAGTCTGAAATAGTATTAAGATTCAGAAATAGTTTTGTCTATTCAAAGTACAAGAGTCTTAACTGTGTAGGAACTCTTTAAAGAGAACTTTCTTTCAAATTGACAGTAAGTATTCTACAATTTCTTTTCAATTAATGCAATGCAGCTTAAAATTCATATATACGTATAAATATATATGTGTACTATTTTCATCTTAAAGGTATTTTCAAAAATAATTTTGAGTTTAATAAAAGTCAGGAAATGCTAGATGGAACCACAAGAATCTGAAGTTTGATCAGAAGTTATGATCGTGAATGGGAGATATGAAGTATGTATTATGATCTAAAATCTTCTGGAGAATAAGAGCACAGAGGTCTGTGGGACACGTTCTCAGTAGTAGTTGCAGCTCCTTGTAAAAAGGGCATTGGCATGCCACACCCTGTTCCCCCTTCTTGCTGCTGTCCCGCAAATTTCCTTTTTAATACCAAGTTTTCTTGCTGGACTTTGATAAGAACTTCTCAACTGCAGCATATACATATTGGGGCTGATGATTCTTTGTTATGAGGGGCACTGTAGCACTTTCAGCATCTTCTCTGCCTTCTACCCAGGACAGCTGTTCCACCTCCTCCCCCAGGTGTGATATTTAAAACGTCTATAGACACTGCCAGCGTCCTCTGGAGACTCAAAATCGCCCCTGGTTGAAAACCACTGTCTTGGATGATAATGAAAATCACAAATGATGATTAGAAATGTTTCTGTTATCTTTTATCCTTTTATAGCATGAGCAAAGTTATATGGATCTAAAGGGCATCATCTGGGGCATGAACTCCAAGCTAGCCCTGGCTCTGTTCTTGTCAGCAACCAGGAGCTATTCTCTCTGCCTCTGCAGGTCTCCACTGCCTCATCTTCATGATGATGTATTCATTCATAAGATATTTGCTGCAGGGATGGAACAATGGCTCAGAGGTTAAGAATGCTTGCTGTTCTTCCATAGGACCTGAATAGAGTTCCCAGCATTCACGTCAGGTAGCTCACGACCACTTTTAACTCCAGCTCCGACAGACAAACAATAATCACAAGAAAAAAGATTAAGCTTAGAGACAGGCTACATGTTTCTCATGTGAGGCACAGGGAAAGAGCTGTGTTCATTTTCAGAGCTGGTACATCCTTTCTTGAATGGAGCTGGGGAAGATTTAGGCCTCTTGCCCTCCCTCTTCCCTGTGAAGGTAAAGTTATCCCAACCTTTCACGTTGTTCTGAGCCTCTTACACAGATTTTTAGCCCCATGAGGCTTTTTGCAACAAGAGCTCCTTTGTTTACTTTGAACAGGATCACATGGTGAAAGATAAAGAGAACATTCCAGTTCAATTGAAATGAAGATTCCAGTCCAACTGGCAACTTTATAGTGATAATTTATATCACAAGAAAGTTCCACATTTCAAAAGACAGTTTTCCTCAAAAGAGGGCATTCCTTGAACAACCAAAACCCAAGGATTGACCCTGTAAGTCCTCCAAAGTCCTGTTTAATCACCCTTTTCAGTTGTCAATACCAATAGCTATCAGAGATAAAAGGTTTTCATTGCAAATTATTTCTTTCCTTTAAATAGAAAACAACTTCCACATAGAATAAGACCAAAGTGTTAATTGTACACAAAAGTAAAAGGTAAAATTGTGTGCTTTAAAAAAATCATTTCATGGGTGGTGTGGTGGTGCACGCCTTTAATCTCAGCACTTGGGAGGTAGAGGCAGGGGGATTTCTGTGAGTTTGAGGCCAGCCTGGTCTACATAGTGAGTTCCAGGCCAGCTGGGGTAACAGGGAGACCCTGTCTCAAAAAGACAAAAAAAAAAAAAAAAAAAAAAAAAAAAAAAAAAATCATTTCATGGGCTCTAATTGGGTTTTACAGAAGTCATTTCTTCTGGAGTAAATTCTTACCTCTTAGTTCCCATTGCACAGTCTGTGGATAACTGTTTAGCCTTTCCATCTCTAATTCTCTGGACCACTCAGTACGACTTTGAGTGTAGAAGGAAAAATTCATTCTCCTTTGTAAGACTTCACTTTTCTATTTGTCTATGTAACTTACACAATACTTTGCAAATGGAAAATTCTGTGTAAATATTGATCAGCTTAAGTGAATGAAATTAAGATGTACAAGCAACCCTAGCAATCATTGCCAACCTTGGAATTTGTGTTGCATAGGGATTAATATCATCAATTCCGAGACTACTTAGTATTTATAACCTAGTTAAAATCCTGAATTTTATGCAACACTTCATACCCAAAGAATTACTTGAATTACTATTGCAGAACCTAACATCAACTGAACTCTCAAGGTTGATATTTTTTGCAAAGCAGATTCTTTGCCCTCCAAGAGTACTGTTTAATAAGCCTATTTCAGGAGCTATGTAGTTTGGACCATGTGGCAATGGCCAGGTAGGTGGATGAAATGGAAAGGTGCTGTATTCTCTTGGGTTCAGGTAACCCATCTTTTTATTATTATTATTATCATGGGAAATGTTGCCTTCTTCCATTGGGCAGAACCAAACTCAGGTTTACCATTTTTTCACTCCAAGTGAAAGAGTCACATAATTCTAATGAACCAGCAGGTGAAGTGGAGAGAAGGGAACTCTGACACAGTGAGGTCTAGACAGAGCAGTAAGATGACAAGGGTCCCAGGCACTGTGCAGGAATCTGGACTCTCTTAGTTTCAGCTGTTTCACAATTAGAAGGAAGGTAACAGTAGCTAACAGGCTTTGACCATTTTATTTCAAAACAATCATGGAACTCTTTGGATATTTCCCATTAGGGCCTCAGTAACTCCATGAAAGTGGCAAACCTCGTTCAGACACTGCCTTCTGCAGCTGTCTCTGCCTTGTGCTTTTAAGCTATGAAAAGGATGTGAGGTAGACACCACTATCTACATTTTGCAGAAGAGGATTCTGGAGCTCAGCGTTTGACATGAGACCAGGTGGTGAAGCTGGTGTCTGGCTGGGCTGTCCCTCACTACCCAGCCTCCTCATGCTGCCAACAGTGCCAAATCGTTGCTCTGTGTCTTCTCTAATATCCAGTCCACATACTCAGCAACTTTGGTGTAGACACCTGGTTGTTCCTTCCGGGCACAACCTTCACCCCAACTGGTGATGCCCACCAACTGCCATATTCCATTGTGTTTACAAACAAAGGGGCCACCGGAATCTCCCTGCATCACAGTGAGTAAAAAAACAAAATGATAAAGTGATAATAGTGTCTCACATTATCTGTCTTAAACAGTTTGCAGTCAGTTTGTACACCATCCATAGCATGCATGCAGCTTCTCAGAGCTCTTCAAGTCTCTCCTGCATTCTTTAGCCATGGGTGTGTGTTTACTTGGTCAGTTTAGTCCTTCTTTCATTCTAAGGTAAATTCAACACAGAAATTTTGTCATTCTTATCCGAAAGTCAAAGAAATAAAATGTTATGTTATTTTAGTATAGTCATAGCATGTACAGTTGCCATTAAATATGGCATGCACCTATACAGACTTGTGACGTATCTGTCATAAACTATATAGATTGTAACATATGTATTGTAATTAATATATGATATACACCACGTATGTTTACTTTATTAAGGGATACTTATAAAGTCATCAGCTCATTTGTCTCAGTTTTATTTTTTATTTTTTTATTATTTTTATTTTATATGTATGTGTGTATTGCCTGCATGTAGGTATGAGCACCCATGTTGTGCAATGCCCACAGAGGTCAGAAGAGGCTTTTGGATCCCCTGGGACTGGAGTTACGGACAGTTGTTAGCTACCATGTGGGTGCTGGGATTCGAACCTGGGTCTTCTGCAAGAACAACCAGTGTTCTTAACCGCTGAGCCATCTCTTCAGCCCCTGTCTCTGAGTTTTAAAAAATGAAATGTAATATTGGAAATTTGCTTTGAACTGAACTGAACCCTTTCCAGGGAACCATTTTGTACTCTTCATAATGGAAAGCATTACCTTACATGCATCTGTTCCTCCTTCTTTGTAGCCGGCACAGATCATTGTTTTGGTTATGATGTAATCTCTGTATCTTTTCTGGCATTCTTCATTTGCTACCAAAGGAATAGTTGCCTTTTGTAGAGTATTTTGGATATCACCTGTGAAGTAATCAGTGTTGAACTTTGAAGAAGGGAGGAAATGCAATAAATAGGGAAATATGACGAAAGTCTTAAAGCAAATCAGAGCACTTCGCTTTTCATTGGGGTCATATCTTATATAAAAATAGTGAATGTCAAGAAGGTAAAACTACGCTTACACAAAGAATGAAAAGAAAAGGGCTAGAAAGAAAAGTGACAGAGAGCAGGAAGGAGGGAAAGAGGGGATGTAGAAGAAGAGGAAGGGGGAGGGAGAGGCAGGCGGACATCGCCATTGGCCTCTGTTTCTAAATGAAGTGTTTAAGGAGCCCTGTTGCTAGGCTGGCCACAGACTTGTTTGCGTGGTCTCTGCTATCCTCTTACCTCGACAGATGCCCCTTAGAAAAATTCCTCTGTGCATTTGCACATTTAATGCAAATACCTGGATGTTCTTGTCTTCCATCATTTTACATATTCAAAGTTATAAAATCAAATACATAATTAATGAAAATAAATCCCAAGCATCTGACAGCAGAGGAGTATTTTCTTCTTTGCATAAATTTCCATGACAAACCATGTATTAACAGACCATTTAATTCCTGCTCATATCCAGGTTTCCCTGGATATATATCGATAGGTTTTCGTTTGTTTGTTTTTGTTTAATTAGAGGTTTGCTTTCACTTTCTCTGTGCTTCAAAGTATTGATGAAAAACATGAAAATTTTTAATTAATTGAATATAGGAATGATTCAGGGAAACATGGAGAGAGCACAGACAGCCATCTCCTTTTGTAAAAATGACACAGGCATGTGTAATATTTTTTATAAGGGACTCATTTTGGAAAGAAACAACAGTTTGTTTCCAGAAAATTTCAAGGGCAGTTACAATAGCTCCAGTCTCCATAAGGAGGTGCTCTTAACCTTGGTTCTATACAAACAATCAAATGAAACGGGCCATAGACTCAGAGAGAGAGAGAGAGAGAGAGAGAGAGAGAGAGAGAGAGATTGAAGTCAAGTCCCTTCAATCACTAATTGTTCAAATGTAGTAGTCCTGGAGTGTTATTTGTAAGACCTTTATGTTTTTCATCAACGGTGACCACAGATTTTTCGGAATTACATTGTAGCTGTGACAGAGAAATGAAAATACCATTTATGCCTAACATTATTTAAAAATTGTGGCAGATATTTTAAAAACTTGCTAGAACCGGGTGTGGTGGTACATGCCTTTAATCCCAGCACTCGGGAGGCAGAGGCAGGCAGATTTCTGTGTTTGAGGCCAGCCTGGTCTCCATTAGTGAATCCAGACCAGCTGCCACTACACAGAAATCTTGTCTCAAAAAGAACCCCCCCCTCAAAAAAAAACTTGCTAGTTAGTACATTAATAAACATACTTACATATCACTATATCATATCCCTTTAATAGATACTGATTAACTGAATGCAGTTTAATTGACTTTTTTTATAATCCTTTGTATTTTACTTAGACATTTAGCAGCATCATTAGAGGAAAAGTTCACTGAGTTTATCAGATTGTAGGAAGAATGTATGAAGGAAGAATGTTGGTCTTTGTGTGATGCTGACATACTGTCCCACAGATGCTGATATGAAGGGAAAGCATGGTAGAAAGGACCACTATGATTACTGAGCACCACATGGGCTTCAGTGGGTTCATTAGCCTGATGGGTGATCATCATTTATGCAGTCAAGAAAGTGATCTCTATTTGAGTAAGATGCTTAAACGATTAACTCATCAGTTTTAAGGCCATGCAAAAATACATATTCTCAGGAATCAATGAACCAATATCTGGGAATAAACAGAGAATGAGTAAGGACATAATTTTAGAAGATGATTAAGCAGATATGTTCCATGTACTTTAACATGTAAGACGGCCTTAGATACAACACTTGAACTATCAGGCCATACCTTTTTCCTTAGTGTAACCCCATCCAGTTACCCAACAGTTGGTATAAATCGTGTATGTATCATCTTTGGAAGGCAGACATATTGGTTTCTGGAATTCTGAAAGGAAATTTCAATGTTAGAGTTGTCTTAAAGTTATAGATACTGACTTCAAAAATAATTATCTATCTTTTCCTAGATTCTCTTTCTACAAACCAGCATACTAAGAATCACCTTTTGGGGCTAGTTGGGAAGAGGAAGGGAGAACAGTGGAAGTGACAGAGGGGTACAAGAGAGGGTGTGGGGAGGTGAATATGATCAAAATACATTATATACATATAGGAAAATACAATAACAAAAAGATGATCTTTCTGCTTTCTGTTCATCTTTTTTTTTTTTTTAAACTCTTTTTGAGACAGGGTCTCCCTGTAGCTCCAGCTGGACTGGAACTCATTCTGTAGACCAGGTTGGCCTTGAACTCACAGAGATCTGCCTGCCTCTGCCTCCTGAGTGCTGGGATTAAAGGTGTGCGCCACCACACCCAGCTGTGTTCAACTTCTAATGTCCAGGATTCAAGAAAATTTCTTACATTTTTCATATGACATTTTGGTATTAAAATTTCCAGAACTAAGAAAAGTTTAGAACCAAAACTTATTATTTAATGCATTTCTAATTTTTTGTGTTCTGCTTAGTATACAATGTGACAGAATTCAGAGTCAGAGTCAAAGTATCCACACTGTCCCGGGAAGTACTTAGATTTCTCCCACCTAATTGTACAACAGAGCAGTGAGGAAATCATCACACCCATTTGCAGAGGATATTAGAGTACAAGGAGGAAAAGGGAGGTACCCAAGGTTGCATAGTTGTTAATGGATAATAACTTCAATAGTGTTAGCAGGCATTCAGTTTATGTGGTGTGGTGTGCCTCCAACGTCAGTTAGAGGCTCCATTATCCCCAGCTGACCCAGTCCCTTCCTAGGAATAGACATCTAGTCCCACTTGCCTTCAAAACATATACTTAAACCCAAGCAGTGATGCTTCTGCTAAACTTGTCAAAAGAAGCCCAATGTCGACATTCTGCAGACATTTCCCAACCTGCTGCTTCTATAACACATATGCAGTTGCATTCCTTTCTGAAAGAATTATTAAGGTTTTTTGCCCCTTAGAAAGCAGAGATTTCATGGCAGGTAACAGGAACTTCCTTTCGCTGTCAGTCCTTATCTTTTCCCCGACTCCACCAGCCAGAACACAAACTCAATCACTGTAGATCTGTTCTTTGATTCAAACCCATGTGAAAAATTTCCGCCAATACACTTTAGCAGTGCAGTCTTTCCTTTTAAATATGCAGCATACCAGTATAATTCAAAGGTGTCTGAAGTTTTATCAAAGCAATGTCGTAATTGCCTTCTGCTATTTTATATTTCTCATGAATAATAAGTTCTTTTATTTTTGAGAAAGGTGTTTCTTTTGTAACATCTGACAGGTTTAAAATGCCACCATAAATGCGCCACACATCTCGGTAGGGAATCCTAGGAGAGAGACAAAAGTGCCTAAGTAACACTGGCATTATCCGGGGTCCTTTCCTAAATCAATTTTTCTTGAAAAAGAGAAGGAGGAGGAAAAAGAAGAGGAGAGGAGGA